CCTGAATCAAACCCAGAACCTTCTTGCTGCAAGGCTGAGCAGCCCGTTTTTATTCACATTTCCATTAAATAATCCTTAATTCACTCCATATGTGTGAACAAAGACCACAGCCGAAGTCTCAGTCAGGTCATTTTATTGGATGATGAAATGATTCCAATGTTATCGGACATGAGGAGGTAGTTACATGGTAGATGGAGACGGGACGTACAGTGCAGGTGATCCTCACGGTGACGAGCACTTTTGTTTTTCACAAAATCGACAAGATTCCCTTCAGTCGTTTGAACATTAGTGTTAAAAAAACCCACATATTTACATTAAATATTTAGTATCAAAAAGGGTGTCCCTCGTTTTGTCAGTAGCATCACAAGTTTTTTTCAGGATGTAACATATTACGACAAAAAAAACAGTTCTTGAAAGTATATTCTAAGTCATTTGCTACAAATGCATGCTTAGAGCAGAAATAAACACAGAAAAACACCTTTTTAGTAGATTTCATTCAGCCTGGTTTGCATGTTTGAGATCTGCATCAAAATAAATGAAGAAATAAAAGCCTTTTTTTGTACTAATACACAAATTGCCATGTGAAACGCTGAACATGTCCAAAAGATTTCACTGTCTTATATGTATATATATAAAAAAACAAATACAAGTTGCGTGTTTTCCCAAGGTCTCAGCTCCGGGATGGGCTGTACGCTTACATACCTTCTGTGACGACCACAAGAACATTATCTACATTTTTTAAAATTGTTAAAAGGAATCAGTCAGAAAAAAATGGAAATAATCAGAATATAATCAGAAGCGGGAGGTTTTTTAATTCCTGCCTGCAATTTTAGCCACTAGGGGTGCTAGATCTTTAACTTCCAGGGCAACTTGGCGCTGTCGCTAAACTAAAGTCTCCCTCGGGGTTTTGGAGTCTGATATCGTACCAGAAGTCGTGGAGTTCCTGGCTAGATTAAATTCAACATCAGAGGACCAAAATGTCGTCTATCAACAACTTTTTAGGCGACTCTTTCGACCCTCGAGTCACACAGGGAAGTTTTGGAGAAGGTTAGTTCTTATAGGTATTCAACTTACACCAAGTGCTGAATACTGACCTGAAAAAATCAGGTCGAAAAATCAGCTAATATGTGGGTCAAAAGTAATTAAGTGTTTTAAAATATGCAGGGACCTGGTTTCTTCGTGGATTAATCAATCTCTGAGGACAATCTCAATCACACATATTTCAGTTAAAAACTAAAACGGTAATGCCAGAGGACTTGATAGAATGTTAGCCATGAACAGGAAATGGTAACATTTTAAGGGCAGATTAGACTTCTGCAACAGCACACATCAAATGTTGCTTGGGTCTGGTTGCGAACCAGTTTTGCTGGTATGTTCCTGTACCTTCTGTCTGGAATTTCTAGGGACGCACAGCAGTTTCCGGGCAAAGCACAAGGGGGAGCCTATTCCAGAACGCGCGAGAACTTGGGCGACACCGGCGGGAGTGTTTTTCTTCCAAAACAATGGCGCGTCTGCAAAATATCAGGGTCATGGAGATGGATCTAGAGTTGCTAGACATCGAAGAGGAACAGGTTCTGTTAATGGAGCGAACCTCCTCGATTAACCTTACGTCGTAGTCGTCCATTGTAGTTGTTCCTCGGTTTTTAAAAACGGCGCACGCCGGCACCGAATCGAGAAGGACGACCACACAGACAGCCGGAAAGGCATACCAAGGACCAATCACAGCTGCTTTTTGTCTGCGCACTTCAGCTTGAGTTCTGCGCGGGTTTGCGAATGTCCGACGCATAGTCAGGATTTTTTTGAGGTGCGCGACGACGGTTGCAGAACCTCTGAGACAGATTTTACAGCTGCAGAGGCTATGCGTCTGACGCATAAATTGGCCTTAAGTGTGCGCCGTTAAGCCCAGGCAAGAAATGTTTGTTAAGCATCAAAGTCCCCGTTATGACCACAAGAGGGAGCACTAAAGCCTTAAGTCGACATGTCCACATTACAAAAAACGCAAAGGGCAACTCAAAAGTCCGTACTAAGAAAGAACCTTTTTTTGGATGCGATTTAAAGATGTTCCCTTGCATTATGTTTAAACTCAAAACTTAGCAGTTTTTCTCGTGCACCGCTAACACCGATTACACTTAGAAATGCGAGGAGGGCGTCAGGCTGTTGCCGTTTGACTTTCTTTACGCGCAAACATTAGCATGACTTCTGTAACGCAGAGGTTCAGATCGAGTGAACACGAGATGATGTTCACACGCTGCCTCTTTTTGTGCTCCTACTCCCGCATTGGGCACAGGTAGCTGGAGTTACCCACCAAAGACCTGCGCCCACCCTTCATTTCCAGCCACTGCAGATTGATGTCGCTAAAAAGCGGCAAAGCAGGACATCTAGTCGTGCTTTTCTTCATCATAAACTTATTTTATAGAACAAAGACGTTAGTTGTGTAAGGTATTCTCTGCACTATTGCTTTAACTTAAAGGGGTGATAGAATGATTCTATAGGGTATCTGGTCCATAAGGTCTCTGAATAGGGTGCGTAACATTGGTTGGGCTAAAAATCGCATATTTGCTGTTCTATGAGCCCTAATAGAAGCCGGGTTAAAAGCCCTAGAATGAAACGACAGGTTTTCTTCCTTTTATGGTATGATCATGAATATTTAGATGAGCTGTGCTCTGATTGGTTGGTTTACAACGAGCAAACCCGCTGAACAAAGACGCATCATAGCAACAAGCACTCACTCACTGAAAAAGAAATATCGCCATCATAGCCACACAGCTAGGTTGAGAGAGGACTGCTGCAGACGGGCTAACGTTAGCCCTGGCTGCCGTTACCTTTGGAAGGTCATCTCAAATTTGGAAATGTATTTTTAAATTACGCATTAGATCAGTAAATAGGCCATATAGTGACGCTTAAAAATATGTTCTAGCCTCAAATGATCTTAAAACGTATTTTAATTGAACATCGGCAACAGAAAAGAGAAGTTTTAACTTAATACTCTGAGCTCTGTGAGCGCTAACCTGGTAGCTGCTAGCTGCCGCAGTGCATGCTGGGACAGATGTCAATATCAGAACGGTCAAGTCTGCTCTGATGCATGCTGGGTAAAGAGGGAGGGGCGAAAACAACATCTGGGGACTTATTTCGTTCTCGGTCTATTTGTTCTTGTGAGTTGGAGCAGCACTAGGGCTGAGGACGTTTTTCGCGTACATGAGAACGTACAAGTACAGATTAAAAAAAACGGCACCAGAGTTGGTTTAGTGACGGATTTGCTCCACTTTAACAGTCAGCCACTTGTGAATATTTTTTACAGTAAGAATTAACTTGTTTCTACCGATTTTTTCAAACGAAACATTTAGGAAAATCTTTACAGTGTTCAAGTGGAGCGGATACAGTCAGTGAAGGTGAACTCTGGAACTATGCACAGTTCAGTTGCCAGGCTTTAAACGGTTCATTCGGACCCTAAAGTCTACCTGTCCCATATCAGCCAAAGCAGGAAGAGAGAATAAGAGAAGCAAATATGAAGAGAACAGACAAATAAAAGCTTCAAAAGGGTCAAAACATCCTTAGATTACCAACATAAACCCAATAAGACGGACTTTCTACTTCATGCTTTTTCCCCTTCTCAACGCAACACTGCCCCTAAAGCAATTCATTGGAACTGCAGGAAGCAGATTTTCTCCCTTTAATAAGTAAACATCTTTTCCAAACCCACTGCAGGTTTGCATGTGGAAAAATTGACATTCCTCATCATGATCAAATGTGACTCTTCATTTGCGGATATTTACTGCATTAGTAGAGCAAAAAACTTCATGTGTGAATCGATCCACTGTTCTGGGTCGGTAGCAACGATCGGAACAGTCTTTTCTTTTAATACTGCATTGCTTCTATTCAGCACGTCGTCGTCTCAGATGCTTATTTATCTTTATTTCGGTTTTCTCCGAGAGCCGAATGAAAAAACAAACTATAGAGCCACTAGATGCAGCTATCAAAAGTGGAACACTGCAGTCATCTTAATCTTGTCCGCAATCTTTGTTGAGTAGTTGCACAGTGGTTATTTACAAAACCTTCCACATATTTAGTGCCTTTAGAAACAAAAAAAAAAGTGCTGGTTCAGTGTAGGAAAGTAGGGGGGGTGACTGGTGACGTTCTCAGACGGTGCTCACAAGGGGACCATGTTCCAAACTGGTGCTGATCCAAAAGAAGAGAACTGTTAGAAATGACTTTATTATTTATTTAAAATGGTTGCAAAAGTAAAACCTTTACCTGTTAGAGGGAAGCTGCTCCAGAACTAAGTGAAGAAACTGGAAGAGAAGAAAAGAGGAGTTGGATGAAAATGAAACCAAAAAGTCATCGCCTCCTTCAGCCGGACACTGAACAAAAAGTGACGTTAACTTTGGAGACGGTCACAGGGAGAGCGAGCGGGTCGGGTTCAGAGACTGAACCGGGCCGGGTTCAGAGAGTGGGCTGAGGGACAAAGGGCCACAAACAGACAGGAGGTCCAGCAGCAGGCGCTCGCCCTGATTTCTGAACTCCTCCCTCAGTCGCCTCAGAAAAATCAAACTAGGGTCCGATTGGGCAAAGTGTATCGACAAATCTTAGCCGAACTGATGACAAACTTGTATATAAAAAAAAAACAAATTATCCAAACTTTGCAAAAAATGTTTTTATTAGCAAAAACAATACATTCTTTCTTAAAATAAGTGCATTTTTTTTTCTTGAATTGAGGAGAAAAGTGAGACACTTTGCCAATGGAACAAGATTATTTCAATTTAAAATAAGAGAAAAACAATTCCATTGTCTTATTTCAAGTGCATATTATCTAATTATCTTATTTTAAGAGTAAAAACACTCAATCCATCTTATTAACCTATTCAAAAAATTCTCATTAAAGGTATACTATGCAACCGGTGTTGATTTTCTAGCGAGGCTCCCCCCAGAGGGCGAAAATAAAAGTGCGCTGTCGTAAATATGCTCGGCTGTTCTCCTGGTTTCTCCGTCAGGCCAGCAGAAACGCGAGGTCCGTGTCAGCCTTGCAGCCTTCTTTTTCTTTTAGCTCTTGCCATTCGGAAAAAGCTTGCCCGATGTTCACCCATGTACGACTCCTCTCTCTGTCCGGAGCCCTTTTCCTCTTTCTTGCCTCCTCCGACATGTGCTTTCACTGTTTTCTCGCTGGTTCCGCCATGATAACTGCACAAATATCGCCACTGCGCTAGCAACCAGCATGCCTTTAACTGGGGGCGTGTAGCAGTTCTTGCCGTAAAGCAAGACTGACGACCGCGATGCGCGAGACTTCTGAGCCTGTGGGTGCGGGCCGAGGGCTCCTGCAATTGCAAGTACGGTATTTCCCCTACAGACCACCAGGGCGGCCGAGAAAACCTTTGTTCGACCTGAAATGACTCATTTAATCATCCAAAACGTCGTGGAACACATTAATTAACTGAAAAATGTTGCATAGTATGCCTTTAAGTGTATTTACCCTTATTTTTACTCATTTCTAGATTGTTTTTCCAGTGTTTTAGGTTAATGTGGAGCTCAGAAATCTCTTAAACCGGGCGTACACTGTACGATTTCTTTGACCTTTTTGGGCCGATTCTCCAGTCGTGCGAGAATTTTTCCAATCAGGCCGACTTTCAGCGTAATTGTGCGTCATTTAGTGTACAGAGGGTGACGAGCGACGATCAGACTCTAACGACCAGGAATCAGAAATCGTAAGATCGGGAGAAAAACCTGTTTGAAATTCAGTCGGCCATAGTAAGGTAATCGAGGGCAAATCGCTCATGGGCAAACAAGGATTCTTCTTCCCCTCAGACAAAAACCCAGAACTAGGGATGCACGATATAATCGACCTTAAAACTGAATATCGGACATCGGCCACCCCACCGATATTTAACCCGATATTTGATCAGCTTCTGAGTTTCTAAAGTCTAAAAAATAAAAAACTAAATACTACTTCTTCTTCCTCAAAAAATTATTTTTTACAGACTTAAAAACTTCTAAAGACGAGGGAAAAAATATTGATCCATTAAAATATCCCAATATCTTCATATGCTGATATATTGCCATTTAAAAACACCATATCAATCTCTTTTACTAATGAAATATTGCTATATGTCATCATTATGCTACGAAATCCCCCGAAAATTCAGGAAATGTCGCCATATTTTTAAATGTTGATATATTGACGCGGTATCGATCTATTTTACTAACAAAATCTCACAAGAATTTGCAAAATATCACGAGAGTTTGTAACAGAACGATGAAATTTCACCAGATTTTGAAAGTAAAATAGATCGATACCGCGTTTTTAAAAATCAATTTGATATCAGCATATGAAAATATATTTGAGTATATTATTTTTCAAAGTGTCAGAAATGGATAACAAAACTGCTATTTTCAATGACTACTTATTTTTGTCCAGCTTTAACATCGGTATCGATATCGGTTATCGGCTACATGAGTTTTAAAATACCGGCATATCGGCCAAAATCCCAATATCGTGCATCCCTACCCAGAACCATGGTAGCATGTCCAAATACATTGTCGCCTTTTCTTTTTGGAACTTTCAGCACAAATTACCAAGACAGCGCGTTTCACTCTAGTTAGCTTCATATTCCTCTTCTACTCGTTTGGCTTCCGGATAGACGAGTCCGAGTAGCGCCGCCTCACTGCGGAACTGAGTCCGACGTTTTTAGACGTACAGCGTGAGAACATACATCGTGAGCTGTGAACTCACGACGAAACCCTCCTTTAGCTGCGTGCAACGATCGGAAAAAAATGGTACAGTGTATGCCCGACTTCAGACAACCCAAATGGTCTCTCTACTCTAAAGCTGGACTAACATCTCGGGGTAGAATCTACCATGGACTCATCAAACCCACGTACATGGCGTGCATGCCTGTCTCATGAGTAGTAAGCCGATGATTTCTTGCAGGTGTATGGTGGGGGTCGGCGCATGGACAGAGGGGGGGGCACCCTGATGAAGCATGGAGGAGGAAGAATGATGGTTTGAATGGAAAAGTTAGATTAACCTTTTACTCTAGTCGTCCATTAAACCAGGTAGTGATTAACAGCTGAACACAGACCGTCCCTACAGGTTAAATGACGAAGGGGAACAAATCATCTCTGATTTACCAACAATTAAGTTATTAATTTTAGCTAACAATATGTTAACGTAAAGCTTCAGTTGATAACGTGTTTAACATTGGCATATAATTAATGCTTTAATGGTGCTTTAAACGTGTTCAAGATTTAATGATCTTGACCTTTTTCTTTGAATTTTTCTCTAATCCACAAATTTAAAATGCTAGCTTGAATATTAACGCTCAGTATTTTTTTTTATTTCTTTATGGATTACAGGAAATCTAAAGCAAAAATGATAGAATTAAGGGAATAAATAAAAAATATGGGCAGCACAAAACGGGGATCGGTTAGACTGATAAAATAATCAGTATAAACTTTTAAAAGAAAAACTGTTTTGGTCAAATCTAAGATAAACTAGGGCTGTAACTAAAAATTCTAAAAAATCTGGAATAAAGAAAAAACCTTTGCTATTTTTCTATGAATTTCAAATGGTCAAAATTTAAAAATATATAAGTAAACAGGTATTTTTTTCATATATAATATACATTTATGTTGTTTTTACATATATTTTCAGCCCTAATGTCGGCAGTACGGTTCTTTGTTTTAGAGTGGGGTCTGGCTTTTTAAATGCTTAATAAAAACCTGCTTTATTCATTCCAAAACCTAGTTTTAATTTGTTTGGGATCATTGTCCTTCTGAACTTCAAACTGAGCTCACATTTCAACCGTCAGACCCAAACTGCTACCTCAGATGAAAGGGAAAATTGCTGAAGCACCAGTATCGCTGTCCCTGGCTTTAACGGTTGTTCACCATACCTTTAATTACATTTTCAGCTGCAGTCACACATTTTGTAGTTATATTAAAAGATGAGGCTATCTAAACAATAATGTTCCAACTAACAATCTGCTTTTGCTCAAAACGTCCATAAATCGACTCAGTTTTGTATTCGTACTCTACACCTTGCGCTGACATTTGGCACAGAGTGTGAACAAAATATCTTTATCCTTACCATGCCTTATAAGCTTTAATAGGACACATAATGTTAATTCGATTTTTTTTTTTAATAGACT